TATATGAAAACTCCACCAGTGAAACTCCATATCATGTAAAACAATAAGAATGGGATACTAATTAAAATAAGTTATACTCCATGTATATATAATATGTCAAAATACACTCTACTGTCATATACATCTAAATAGAACAACAACAACAAAAACTTATGGATAAAAAGGAAAGCAATATAAAGTAGAAAGTATTTAGAATGAATGATAATATAATACAGAATACAACTTGTTGGTATGCAGTTGCACCTATAAAAATATGGAGTTTTAAATAATTATATTAGGAAAAAAGCTGTGTCTACCTTATAAATTTTGAAAACAGAAAAGCAAGATGTATACTTAACGAGCATTCATATATGCAATGATTTATTTCTGGCTCTCTATTCTACTCCACTGGCCTGTCTTGAATATCCTAACTTCATATTAACTCTTGCAATCTTGTTCATCTTCACAAGTGTATTGATAATTCTTTGTACTTCCATATAAATTTTAGAATCAGCTTGTTATTATACTAGTTTTCCAGCCTTCCATACCTCTCCCCCCAAACCCCTCTTGAAATTGATTAGAACTACAGTGAATCTAAGATCAATTAGGGAAGAACTGCCTTCTTTTCATATTGCAGCTTTCTTCATTTACTTTAATTTTCTGTCTCTATAAAGGTCTTATACATCTTTTGTTAGTTATTCATTTTCTAACTACTGTTAATATAACTGAGTTTTAATTATTATTATTATTTTTTTTGGTAGTGCTGGGGATTGAACCCATGGCCTTGTGCAAGGCAAGCACTCTACCAACTGGGCTATCTCCCCAGCCCCTACAACTGAGTTCTTAGATGTTGATTTTGTATTGAGTAACCCTGTTAAATCTTACATCTACAATGATGACCATATGATTTTTTCTCTTTTAATCTGAATTTCTGCTATTAAACCAACTTCACATTCCTGGTATAAATCAGTCTGGGAATGATATTATCTTGTACATGCATTGCTAGATTCTGTTTCTTAACATTTTGCTTAGGATTCTTACATTTATATCCATGAAGAAGACTAGCTGGTGATCTTCCAGTTTTACAGTCTGTAATGAATTTTGTTATCAAAATTAACTCAGTTCATTATCATTTGAAGAGTCAAGACTGGAACTCTTTGTTCTGTCATTGTGGGACAAAACTTAGCTATAAGACCATTTGGTACTAGGGGTAGTGGAGCACACCTGTAATTCCAGCTACCTGGGAGGCTAGGCAGGAGGAAGGCAAATATGAGGCCAGCCTGGGCGACTCAATCTGATCCTCAAAGAAAAAAAAATTTTTTTTTTAACGGTGAGGGGTGTAACTCAGTGGAACTGAGTGCCCCTAATCCCCGGTACCACGGGGGGTGGGATGGGGTAACAATATAAAAAACATCTGGTTTTGATGAGTTCTTTGAAGGAGAGGGGAGAGTTTTGTTTATTTTTTATTTATTAAAGGATGATTTATATTTTCTACTTTTCCTTTAGTTTTGAAAAGTTGTATTTTCCTTGCTTTTATTAACTTCATTCTCTTTGCATTCCTACTATTATTTATCTCTAACTTTTGCTTTTATTCTTTTTTAGTTTTGGCAGAAGTTAACAATTTAGTTAGACATTTTAAAAGAACAACTTTTTTTCTTTTTTGATCCTCTATGTTTGTATAGTATAATGGTCAAGACTCCAAACTGGCCATGGTGGCTCATTCCTGTAATCCCAGCAGCTCCAGAGACTGATGCTGGAGGATCACAAGTTTGAGACTGGCCTCAGCAACTTAGCAAACCTTGTATCAAAATAAAAAGAGCTGGGGCTGGGTGCAGTGGCACCTGCCTGTAATCCCAGCAGCTTGGAGGCTGAGGCAGGAGGGTTGCAAATTCAAAGCCAACCTCAGCAAAGGCAAGGTGCTAAGAACTCAGTGAGACCCTGTCTCTAAATAAAATACAAATACAAAATAAGGCTGGGGATGTGGCTCAGTGGTTGAATGTTCCCGAGTTCAATCCTCAATACCCACCCTCAAATTAAAAAAATGAAAAGAAGGGCTGGGATGTAACCATATCCCCAAAAACACAAGAAAAGAAAAAAAGAAAAAAAAAGGAATATTGGAAAACAGACTCTGATCTCAGACTACCTGGGTTCAAATTCCAACTCTTGTACTTACCAGTTATATGAACCTGGGCAAAGTACATGACACTCTCTATTTAAATGTCTTCACTTTGAGAAGAATGATTACAACATTTATTACCTCAAAGAGTTGTTCTGCATGTTGAGTTAATAAATATAAGATATTTAAAACACTATACGGCTCATAGTTAACTATATGAATATTTGCTACTATTAGTACTAATAGTGCTATTGCTAAAAAGTCAATACATTGACAGATATTTAGTTAAGATGGCACAATAAAACAGTTAAGCACATGGATCTTGTTGGTGTGTTATATACTTCATAATGTAGCTGCTGTTGTTATTAGCAAATTTACTTACCCAGCAAATATGCTAAAAATGTTTAAATTTATATGACAAAGGAAGAATTAGATACCAATAGACAAAGATCTCTAACTAAAAAGAAAAAAGAAAAACAAAGCTGGGGTTGTAGCTCAGTGGTAGAGTGCTTTCCTAGCTCCTGAGGCACTGGGTTCAATCCCCAGCACCACATTAAAACAAACAAACAAAAACTAAACAAAATAGAAATGTATTACTTTTCATCTAATTGAAAAAGACTGAAAGGCAAATGGATAATATGTTATCAAAAATTTTAATGTGCATATTCACCACTGCAATAATTTGACTAGAAATTTAGCCTTAGGAAGAAATGAGACAAGCAAGCAAAAATCTATATGCAAGATTTTCACTGTTAGTACTATTACAAAAAAAAAAAAGAAAAGGAACAAATGTCTGTCCACAGGTCACCATTAAATAACATGAAATAAAATTATTAATTAAAGCCAGGCACAGAGGCACACACTTGTAATCCCAGTGACTTGGGACACTGAGGTAGAAGGATAACAACTTTGAGGTCAGCCTTAGAAACCCAGTGAGATCCTAAGCAATGTAGTGAGACTCTGTTTCTAAATAAAATGCAAAAGAGGGCTAGGGATGTGGCTCGATGGTTTGGTGCCCTTGAGTTCAATCCCAGGTACCAAAAAAAAAAAAAGGAAAGTCTGACTTTTTATTTATATTTAATGCCATATATTATTCACTAAAACTGAAATAAAAAGGGGCTAAGAGGTCAAGTCAAACCTGGGTCTAGGAACATCTAATTTTTCTCCTTCATACAAACTCCTCAATTTATATAATAGTTCAATCTGATGAAAAATGAGGGAGATCTGATGTTATAGTTTATAGAAACTATAAAACAATGATCAGAATAAAAAGGAGGTTCTTAGGTATTTATAGGTGCTACTAAACACTGAATTTTCTAGACTCTAACCATGGCTTTGCAGACAAGGGTCAATTAACTTTACCTATCTGGATCTCATTTTCCCTGGTTATGAAATTAAGATGTTTATCAGGATAATTTCTAAATTCCTTCTAAATTTAACATTCAAAAAACTAGGCACAGTGAAGGGCAGATATACCAGATGACTGAGATTTCTAGATTAGAATATTAAACTGAAAAAAAAAAGGAAAGAAAAGAAAAAGAAAAAAGCCATAAGCAGTGATACATGCTTAGAATCCCAGCAATTTGGGAGACTGAAGCAGGAAAATTACAAGTTTAAAGCCTGCCTCAGCAACTTGGCAAGACCATCTCAAAATAAAAATAAAAAGGGTTGGGGATGTGGCTCAGTGGTTAAGCACTCCTGGGTTCAATCCCCAGTACCAAAAAATTTTTAAAAATCAATCAATAAATAAAAAGAATCCTAAACCAGCCTTAGAAGAAAGGAATTAAGTTCGGTTCTGTATAAACTGTAGAGATATCTCTAAATCTAATAATTAGCTACAAATTTAATTCTGGCCTTTAGAAGAGAAAACTGGGAGTCACTAGAATCCTGGTGAAATATGAAACCACTGATGAGATTACCCAAGAAAACATGGGAAAAACAAAAGAGTGAACACTAAAGTTTAAAAGGTAAATGGTAGAAGAAAATGATGGATTCAAGGCAAACATGAACAAAGTAGAATATAAACAAATCAAGGAAAAAAATAATTTCTAAAGCTAATCTTATGCTATAATGCAGTATCATATCGGAAAAGACAAAAGAAATCAATGGATTTAGACATAAGCCAAGCAATGATTACCAACAGATCAAATCCCACATGTTTATTGAAATTACTTGTTTGAATGGTACTAATTGTAACTTTCTTCTGGTAAGGAATTCAGATGTTGTGTAAGATAACTTGACTCTATCATTCACACCTTCACAAAAGTAAAATAAAGAAAACCTCATCATACCTTTGTTTCAAAATGATCTGGGGCTTGATATTAAAACTGAGTCCAAACAACTTAGTGTGACATTCATCTTTCATATTCTATCTTTCCACCCACTCTCCTACATTCCTTACCCACAGAAAATATGCCTACTCCCCCAAGCTGCAAGAAACATATACTATCGCCCTTACGTACCTTCTCTACCTGCAGAAAACCTATTCTTTTTTTAAAAAGCACATTTTAAAAGCAAACTTTTAAAAAGAACACATAAAATAAACACAAAACAAATATCAGGGTATAAGATTTCAACCCAAAGCTATCATTTACATTAATGCAAATGGTCTATCCTTTGACTATAAGGCAGATTATCATATTCAATAAATAACAATATATACTGATACAGTTATAAAAACACTACAGAAACTAAGAATTAAGAGAACAATCCAGGTACCTAAACAGTGAACATAATTCTGCTAGATTTCTATCAATACTTAAAACTCCTAAATACCTCAAATGAAAGCAAATGATGATATAATTAACCTCAAAATGAAGCAATATGGCATTGTCTCCCTTAATTGTCCCATATTTTAAGAGTTCCATGTTAGTTCCTCCACCAAATAAATTCCATAAACACTGACCTTGCCATGGCTTCTTTCCACTTTCTGAAAACACTTATTTAGGGACAGATTATGTCGAACAGAATTCTTCCAGCCTGTAGGTGCAGTAGCAAAATATGGAAAATGGTCCAGAATCCAGCTATAAATTTCTTTGACAGGCAAACATTTATTTGGAGAGTGTTCAATAGCCATATAAATTAGAAGACTAAAAGAGTATGGGGGCTTTGAAGTTGTTGATTTTTGTTCCGGGCTCTGGTAGCAAGATGGTCCAAAGGATGGTACATCATCTCCTTCTATGTCATACAATGGACTAACCATTGGAGGACCCTCACTTCCGAGGCTGAAATTTGTTAGAAGATTAGTACTTTCATGAAGCCAGTTCAAGTTTGTGAGCTCATCATCTGTAGACTCATTGCCTACTAGAGTGGCCTTTGGCCTGGCAGCATCAACAGCTTCAGGCAAACTTCCCATTTTATAAATCTGACTTAGTGCCGCAACCTTTTCAGCTCCCGGGGTTTCAGCTGTCTTATCTGGAGTCATTCCAATTACTGGACCCATTTACTTTAATAGGTCTGAAACAAAGGAAAAAATGATCAGTCAATGTAATACTGACATTCTTAAACTTTGGAAAAAGCAAATACAGATTTAAATGTTCACAAATCAAAAAATTTATAATTATCCCTCCTAATATTTAAGACAATACTTATATAATAAAGAGTTATTATATAAGTAACAGATTTATATTATTTGAAACAATGGTTAAGTAAATTTTTTCTTCTTGTGGTACTAGGGATTTAAGCCAGGAGCACTCTACCACAGACCTACAACCCTAACCCTTTTTTATTTTTGAGACATGAAATCTCTAAATTGCCAAGACTGGCCTGGAACTTATAATCCTTCTGCCTCAGTTTTCATAGTAGTTTGGGATTACAGGCATGAAGCCACCCCACACACTTAAAACCATAAATAAAATAATTAAAATAAATTAAAATACTGTTTAAACGATAGTTCCAAATAAATGCTTTCATCAGATCTGAAATATTTACTATAAGAAGATTAACCATTAATTATATTTTATAGCATCATACTAAAAATGATTTCTTTTTAATTGAAAAATTATAAATATATATATTTGGAAGGTACAATGTGATATGGTACATGTAAATACTGTGGTAGGATTAAATCAAGCTAATCAACATATCCATCAGCTCATATTCATTGTAGTGAAAACACTTATCTACTGTTTTGGCAATTCTGAAATATATGGTATGCTATTATTATTAACCATAGTCATCATGCTGTGTGATAGATGCCTAGAACTTATTCTTCCTGTGTAACTGAAACTTTGTACCCATTGACTTATATCTGTCCTTTCCCTATCCACCTTCCCTCACACCCCTAATAGTAATTCATAACCACTGTTCTGCTTTCTGAGTTCAACATTTCCTATTCACCAAATTCCTTATCACCTAAACTGAATTTACTATAAATTTATTGTCCTTTATAAACTCTAGTATTTTAAATTTTGCATTCTGCTGGGTACAATGGTGTATGCCTGTAATACTGGTGACTTGAAGAGATTGAGACAGGAGGATTTAAAGTTCAAGGCCAGTCTTATAGAATTTCAGCAACTTAATGAGACCTTGTCTTTATTTATTTATTTTTTTTATTTTTATTTTTTTAAAGAGAGAGGGGGAGAGAGGGGGGGAGG